ATACAGGACAACATTTTGTCCGGAAACTTTTATTCCTCATAACGGCGGAAACATTTGAGTGAGCGGAGAGATCTGTGCTCAAATCGCTTGAATATTCAATAGAGCGGGTATCTCTCCATGGGGCATGCATATCTGTGTAAAGTAGTTGGTGCTAGTCACAAGAAGGCTACTGCACGTAGGGACGCATGAGCTGTAGACATGTATTTGGTACAAGTCGTTGACATTGAAAAGATATTCATACTTTTGAATATAAAGTAGCTTAGGCCGCATGGTGGTGAGATGCTGCCTCTATCACGGCACCGCCCGTCGTTGTCGGACCCTCATACCCCTTTCTTGCCCCCAGCAACCACCATAGACCAACAAAAATGGTGAAGCCGCCCCATATCAAGCATGCGTAGTTCATCGACTGGGCATTGGTCGGCAGAGCGAAAGGGAAGCAGTAGATGACGAACCACACCAACATGTAGGAACATGCGATGCCGTTAATGGCGAACCCAATCCATCCACGCATGTGGAAGGGTCCGTAAGCGACCATCTTCCGCCCTGAAAGGAGGTTAGGTAGTATGGCAGCGAGATAGGAGCTACTCGAGAGAAGAATGAAGCTCCCGACAAAAGCGTTGAAAGCTGTCGTGCTACCGACATAGATTGCTCCAAGAACCGTGACTAGGATGGCTGACAAGACTGTTGACCACATGGGCATGCCCAGCCTTGGGCTTACATGTCCGAGAAGGGAGGGACGGGGACTTGCGCCGTCACGGGCAAGGGCCCATAGTGTTCGACCGCAGGTGATGTATAGACCCATGAGCGTCAAACCGATGCATATGAGTACGAGGGCGAGCAGCCCAGTCGCGCCCGCAGCGGAGCCGGTGGCTTGACGGTAGATTTCGGCGATGGGATACGGAGACTCAAAGAGGGCATCATAGTCGTTGATCGCGTACATGATGGTGACCAAATAACAGAACCCGGTGATGAAGCCAATGCCCAGCTGGAGCCCGAGAGCAATGGGGACATTACGCTGCGGGTTCGGGATCTCTTCCGCTAGATGGGTCGTAGCATCGACGGCACCGACACTGAAAGCTCCGTTTAACATTCCGGCCACAAAGACAAAGCCGTTCGGATATCCGATGTCGGCGGTCCACTCGGTCCAAACAAAGGAGGATGATGCATGCGGCGGCCGTCCGTCTCGACCGGGCATGACGGCTACAGTGATGACGGTGATGAGGAAACCTGCTACAATCGCAAAGACACCAAAATCGTTAATCCGCGGCATAGCACTATTAGCCAGGCAGACAATGGCGCATGCAAGCCATGTCGCGATGATGTAGACGATGAAGACGTGCCAGGGCTTGGCCTCGAAACCCGTGTGGTTGAGCGCGTACATCTGGACCACCGTGTTGCCGAAAATTGATGCCATGCTGGCCGCGCCGAGAATCCACGCAAGGTAGTTCCACCATCCGGCGAAGAAGCCCACGACGCGGCCCCATCGGCGGCCGGGTGTGACGGAGGCCCAGTGGTACACTCCGGCAGACGAAGGGATAGCGCTTGCTAGCTCGGCGATGCTGGCCGCGACGGTCCAGTAGCAGACGGACACGGCGATGAACTCGTATAGGACGCCCGGGGGACCGCCGTTGAAGATGGCGACGAGGATTGAGCCGCCGATAGCTGGCCAGACATTGCCGACTACCAACCCAACACCGGCGAGTGAGAGTAGATTGAAGTTGCGCTCAAGTTCTTGGACGTGGCCAGACGCGTTGATGGCTACATCATGTTGGTCGGCCGATCGTGTCTTGTTGACATTGGGGGCCGTGGCCTCGCTTTCGTCGTGGAGTTTCGTATCGCGATCCATGCTTGGAGCGTGTTGAGAGTCAGGAAGATGCATACGAGCCTGCTGCTGGTCTCCGAGAAGTTCTGGGGAGGAAAGTCGAGGCGGGCCTGTCTAGATAGACATCCAAACGCGACCGGCCCGGTGCTACCTGAAAGTACCCGAGAGATCCAGTAGCGGCATCCACGAAATTTCGATATCGGCAGTCTTGTCATTCCAATTGCTGCTCAATTGATCAATTTCGCCGACGGCGCCCCCAACTTGTTATACTCCAGATGCCCGGCGGCACTCTTTCAATGTGCCAATGGTCTGATGGTGCGACTTGGGTCGCGGGGGAATCATCCCTTTTGATATCGGTATCGCCACTAGAAACCAGAGATCCCTGAAATATCTCCCAGTCAGGGGGAGGGATTGGCTAGGCTGGCCATTCAAGTGCCGGACACTTATCCGGGAATGTCACTGAACCCAGTCGCTGGGCATCCTTACTAAGGTTAAGCTCCTGATCCAGCGCTACTCCAAGTCTGGTAATAAAACTGCACGCAATACATGAAAGCGATGAAGGTATCGAGCCGGAGCCGGTTGTGGTTTCGATGCCGTTACGTACTCTGAACATGCGAATCTTCCTCCCCGCAAAGTTGATGGAGCAGAGAGTCAGCGGAGAGATCGATTGTGGTCCTGAAGACGGAGTTTGGGTGCCGGTTAGATCCACTGATTGCATGGGCGTGAAGAAAATCTTACGCAAGAGCTTGACCACGCTTTGCGGGGGAACAGGCCGCCGGCTCTTAGCTCTGGGGTGATTTGCTTAGTAACAAGCACTACAAAAGCGAGCGTAAAGGGGCCTGGGATAGGATCTGGACGATTTAGCAAAACACGTCGAAGATATAAAAGCTCTATCATGGATGGCGTGACTTCCAGTAATGAGAGTCCAAGAACGCCGATATCTAAGACTAAGTACATTCGGGCTTCTGGTTGCTAGGCCCACCATGTGAAAACCCTAGCTCCCGCTCACTTGGTAATTTATCGTTGATGAGTGGGGTAGAAACCACGGCTGACATGACGGCCGCAACCTGCGTCAAGATAAATACCGTAAAAACTCGAGCACTTCAAACTTGCGTTAGCCCGTGCACTCTTCACGTTAAGCCTCTCTCAGTACCAAAAACTCGCTGATCTCCGCCACGTTTTCAGATCTTGACTCTGAATAGAGGCACGTATTGGCCAGAAGGTAAGTAAGACAGCGGGAGCACGGGCTAACGCAAGTTTGAAGTGCTCGAGTTTTTACGGTAGGTTCAGGAGGATAGAGTGAGGAAAAATATAGAATGCGGTGCAAGAGTGTTACAAGTGCTAAACAAGCTTGGTGAAAAAATCATGTACACTATGCTTGAACCTCGGACTCTCGGACTTCCACATAGCGAAAAACCCGCGCTGTCGTTTAGGCTTAAGGCATCAGGACCGGCAGCCAAGCTGCGCCAATTGCCAAGTTGCACGAGCGTAGCACCAGCCGCATTTCAGCCTTGGCTTAACACTCTACTTTGGTAATGATGTCAATATCTGACGTATGCACTTATGAGTCTTCTGTGATTAACCGGCGCCCGAAGGCGCCGTCTGCCGAACAGCAAGACCCGACAAAGACTCCACATCGGCATGAGTGGGATCAATACCCGGGGGCGGCTTCCTGCACAGTCCCGCGAAGGTTCAAAATTCCCCGTTCGGCTTCATGAACCCAATATTCTTATTTTCCGTAACATTGACGGCTATGCAGATCCCGCAATGTCACTGTAACGGCTCCCACACTTTGCCTTTAAACACACGACACCGCATCGCCGTAGAAAATAACAAGTCAAAGCTGACAGCGGTGAGTTAGAGCTCGGTAAACGTGTTAATACGGCTTCTTTTTTGACAGAGTAGTACGCCAGTGGCTAAGTTGTCGGTCGCTATGGCCCATACTTCAACTGCCTACAGGCATTACATTACAAGTACTAGTGTCGGATTGGAAGTCCCAATTCGACCTCGGCGTACGGCCGGCCGCGCAGTGGCCAATTACGGCCCATACTTCCGATTATCGCGGCCTGCCCAACCTACGGTTGGAACCTCCCTTTTACACACACGCAGAAATTCATATAGTTCAATTGATCTCTTCGTCAACCCACGGTTCAAGCCAAATATCCTGTGATACGGATACCAACAACTAGAAACAATCACTGACCTTCGAAGTGAGACCCGCTTCCAGGTCAAGTATCTCTAATGCTGTCCAGGAAGGCGTAGAGCCTGAGATATTGTAACACAAGCATTCTGTAGTTATCTGTACCTGTATTGATGCAAATCCCGACGAAGTGCACCAAAATCATTGAATCCTGTGCCTAGTTCTTATCTGTAATTGAGATCAGTGGGACGGTGAACAGAGGCCATACACTCCAAAATCAACCATGCAGGCAGTAAGAATTTTCCCCAGATTCTGTAGAACTGCGTGTATAAGGTAGCATTTGGAAGTAACACACTCGCTTATTGGAAGCCTGGGAAGCTGCTTTTGGAGCAAGCTCTCGGAGTGAGCAGTATGCTCACACAGCCTACCAAACCCATGAAAAGACTTACCGGTGGAAATTTAGATATTGAATTGTGGCATACATGGACACTAAGCAGTGCTGAAAGTAGACTTAACGGCGCGTGCCACCATTTCCTCGAGTTCGTATGGAACCTGCACTCTCCCGCCGGCTACCGAACTGAGACACGGAGTATCTATGATTCCACTGAAGTCCACCAAGATAAGAAATGCTTGAGACTTGAGGTTCTAGAAACTGAATGACGCGCTCGCTACTTGGCATGGAGGACTCGGTGCGTGCCGAGAGTCCGCCTCGAAGTGGGCGGTGTCGATCTGCGCCAGTCCGGTTCACGGATCCACCCAGTCCACGACGTGCTTCATCGTCTAAGCTAGCGCCTGGTAGCAAGATGTTCATGCTGCACCAAGGTCTTATTTAAGGTCTATTAAAATTTCCAAAAGTGTCTTCATGAATCAACTACAGCCAGTTCTCAACTTTTAAACATTTGTAAAGACGAACCTGCAACCTTCATCGCTTCAAAGACGGCCAGAGCTCGACGTCAATTTTGCGTTCTTTTCTCCTTGAAGCACTTTTGGTGTCCCTTCTGCCTAACCTCAAGTATTTAGACCCCAAGCTCGAGAAAAATGGGCTCCCTACTACCCACGACGATTCGCATCGATGCTTCGTTGTTGAATTGGCATCATCTGTCTTCAACAGCAAGCTTTTTGCTACTCTCATCGCTGCTTTTGGGGATACTGTCACAAGTCCTGAGCCGGAGACTGAAAGTGCCTACGCCGCTTTCGGAAGAGGTGTCCGATATCCTCAACAGAAAACGGTCATACGGGGCAAACGCCAGGAAACTACTCGACAAGTACTATGAGCGGGTAAGTAGACTTATAGAACAGTTGCAGTGCGTCTCACAGCTAATGCGCTGGTCAGTTCAAAAGCAAGCCTTTTGGAATCGACACCATGGATGGTATGTCTAGTTTTTTCTTTTGCAGAACTGGTGAAAAAGTTTTTGACTTTGTGTAGGTGTCAAAGTCGTCTTGCCCCTTGCAAGTGTCGATGAGCTGAAGAGTCACCCGGCATTGAGCTTCAAAGCCTCGATCGACAATGTAAGTTCATTTCATTATCAATAAGTCACTATGTATGCTGACATTGCTTTCTAGGATGCCTTGGTCAACTACACAGGTATTGGAGGTGTCGACGCTTGGGGGGTACATCAGATTCTAGCAAAGATGAACCCCAGCTTGGGTTTGTTGAATTCTTTATAATCTTCCAGGAGCGCAATTCTAACCAAGGCAAAAGGTGCTTACGTTCCTGTCTTCCATGGAATGATCCAAGAACACCTTCCGAAATTTCTTGGATCTCCGACAGGTGAGATCCATGGTCCTATCATACATCACTTTGCCTAATTTTCCTCCAGATTGGACACCAGTAAAACCCTATCAGCACTTCTTCGAGCTTGTGGCGATCCTGTCTGCGAGAATAATGCATAGCGATGAAGCGGCCCGAAATCCCGCATGGACTAATCTCTCTATGTCATTCGTACACACCGCAATCGAATACGGCTCGGCTCTCAAGCAGTGGCCTCCTTTCCTGCGTCCGTTCGTCGCCTACTTCCTCCCCGAACGCCTAGAGAAGGAGAAACAATGGGCCAAAGGGCGCGAAATTGTCGCAAAGTCCATTGCCAGGAAAAGTGCCTTGGATGGTGCACCTCTGGAGAACCCTCCCACCATGCTCGACCACCTGTCTAGCGGGGAACACGCAGATAAGGCCGGGGACCTGGACCTACAACTCTTGCTGCAGATGACTCTCGCCGTGGCGAGTATCCACACAACCTCGTCTTCCATGGTCCAAGTTTTATACGATCTTGCCGCATGCCCTGAGTACACTGAAGAGCTTCGTCAGGAGGTTGTGGAGGTTTTGGAGAGTTCTGGTGGCATCTTTACCAAGCAGTCACTTGCTGAGATGAAGAAACTTGACAGCTGGATGAAGGAGAGTTTGAGAATGAATGCACCTGATCTGAGTAAGTCGGCGTCTTCCCACCAGAGTTCGGTTTCTTACAAGTTCGAAGCTACCTTCCAGCGCATGGCCACGAAGCCTGTGACCATAAAAGACGGAACTTACATCCCTGCCGGTACGAAGATGGAACTACCAACCAGCGCTATCAACTTTGACGCTTCCATCTACCCCGATCCGCACAAGTTTGATGGCATGCGGTCGTACCGTCAACGCCAGCAAGATGGGATGGCACACAAGCACTCATTTGTCAGCGTCACTCGTACGGAACTTGGTTGGGGTTTCGGAAGGCATGCGTGCCCGGGCAGATTCCTTTCCGATGTCGAAATTAAGCTCATGTTTGCGGAGTTCCTTCTAAACTATGAGATCAAGAACTTAGATGGACAGCCCCGATCCAAGAATGTGGAATTTGGAGTGAACGTGCTCCCAGATCCGGAGCATCAGGTTTTGATTCGAGCACGGAAAGTCTGAGATCATCAGGGTGAAGAATGCGACCTGAGCTTATCTGCACCGACATCATCGGCAGCTTTTCGACTTTCATCTGTATTAGAGCCCGGCATGGAAATCATAATTTGTAGAGTAGCGTATTAGAATTAGCGTTGGGAGATCCCATATCACAGGAAATGTCTTCCAATTTCAAGCTCAGGAAGATTGGACTTCGGGTTGTAACCGCTTGTTTGTGGCAGATTCTACATGCCTCTTAACTAGTGGGTTTCTCAACAGACTCTTGAGTTGGAAGGATCGTGCTGCTACTGCGAGGCTTGCAGATGTTGTCTGAAGAATTTCTCCTGTCGCCGCAGAGCATACTTGGTCCTGCCTGAACAATGATAAGCTCCAGGCATGTAGAGTAACTCAAAGTCCTTGTCTGCATCATTCAAAGCATTCACCAACTGCAGAGTCGACGCGGGATCAACGTTGTCGTCCATCTCTGCAACGATTAGTAACAGCGCTCCCGTCAATTTGCTAGCATGGACCACATTCGATGAATCCTCGTATGCCTTGTCGACTGGATAACCCATCCACTACTCGCTCCACCATATCTTGTCCATTCTGTTATCGTGGCATCCACAATCGGCGACGGCTGCTTTGTAAAAATCGCCATGAAACAGAAGTGCCCCCACGGCATTCTGTCCGCCTGCCGATCCCCCAAAGATCCCGACTCTGTTCGTGTCCATCCACGGCCGAGTCTCTGCTGCAGCTTTGATCCAGGCTATGCGATCAGGGAACCCGGCATCCTTGAGATTTTTCCAACTAACGTCTTGGAACTTCTTTGATCGCCAATTCGTTCCCATGCCATCAATTTGAACCACAACATACCCCTGTTCTGCCCACTGTCGGCGCGAACGCAGGGCACTGAATTCCTTTGGTACGTGAAATCCATGCGGGCCTGCGTAGATGGATTCTAGAATGGGGTACTCTTTCTTGGGATCAAAATCTGGAGGGCGAATAATTATACCATAGATAGACTCTTCGCCGTCCCGCCCATGGCAGTTAAATCTCTCAGGTACTACCCAGCCGTCTGATTCTAAACGATGAGAATCCCCTTCGTCACCTTCGAGATGTATGACCAGCTCTCCAGTTTCCATCTTTCGCAGAGTGGTGCGTGGGGGCGAGTCCACCCGCGACCATGTGTCGAAAAAGTATCCTTGCCCCGGAGAGATTGTCCAGTGGTGTGTGCCATCTCCATCGGTTAGCACTTTGAATCCCGTCCCATCGAAGTTGACGCGAGCCAAGTGCGTATAGTACGGATCTTGATCAGGGACTACTCCGCAAGCTGAGAACCAAACCACTCTCGCTTCCTCGTCGAAACGAACGAACTCTTTCACATTCCATTTTCCCATTGTTATCTGACTTTTCAACTTCCCTGATTGGAGATCGAAAAGGTAAAGGTGGTTGAAGCCGTCTCGTTCGCTAGCCCAAATGAGTTCATCGGTATCTTTTATCCGACGTCGATTGAGCTTCGTGGAATAGTCAATGAATGTGTCACTGCTCTCTTCAACTAGAGCCCTAACAAAGCCGTCTGAGTTGATTCCTATGACACGCAGACGTTGATGGCCACGCTCGTTGTATATGAAGCGATATTCCGAAGAATCACGGCTCCATCCTATGTTCCGAAGTTCGTAGGGGCTCTGAAACAAAGTAGCGTCTGTAACGACCTCTTTCTTCGTTTCTAGGTTAAACAAACGAGGACGATCAACTCTGACGCGATCTCCAGCCTTCAGGTACCGGATGCTTTTAGGCTTCGGCTCAAGCTGATCTTTCGGAACAGAGTCGCGAAGGTGCACTTTGTGCTCTTCCTCAGGGACGAATTGCCAGGCGACACAAAACTTCTTGTCTGAAGATATCCAGATGTTTGAATCATCATACTGATTGTCTTCGGCGCCGTTGTCTGAAAGACGAACCTCTTCCTTGTCTGCATTCCGGCACCAAAGGTCAAAACCTCGCACAAAGAGGTGGGGCGAGCCCTTCTCGCTCAAGTCTGACTTTGGGCTTGTTTCCTCGCCATCTCTCTCTTTAACACCGTCTTCTGAGTCCCGAGGACCGAGCTCATCCATCGTGTTTTCATCAATGATCACAGAAGAGACAATCTCTTCGGGTGTGGCGTAGATTGCCTTAACAGTCTCCGACTCATCGACAAATTTCCAGACATGGCCGGCATAAGTTCTTTGAGTGTTGCTTAACCCACTTCCAATCCCTCCATAAAGCACTGGCTTGCCTTCCCAGTCTATCCAATACTTCTTCAAGTCTGCCTTGCTGTTGTTGACAAAAGTGATAGTGACGGATTGGTTCGAGTGCACAGATGCACGTTCTTTGGAGATGAATGGCGTTGTAGGCAGATTGAGCGCACCCTCCCATTCACTGAGGTTTGCTTCAGTGTCAAAACGCCATTTCTTTCCCTCATAGAGAAATCGGACGGAGGATGACTCGGCTTCAAGGTCGATCCATGTGAAGGGCAGCTTGAAAGCGTCGATTTCTCCATCTTTTTGGTCGGTCCCCTCTTGAAGCGCCTTTGCTAGCTTGTCATGGTCAAAAGCTGGACGTCGCTGCTTCTCTATGGCGTCAACATATATGAAGACGAATTTACCGGCTGGGAGGTTCTGGCGATACCAGAAGGTGTTACCCTCGGACACCCAGTGTGGGGAGACTCTGGCTTGTTGGATGTAGTCATCTTCCATGGCGATTCGCTCGCTGAAACAAAGCTTGGATGAACGTAGATAGCAGGATATCGAACACTCGTCTGTTGAAAGAGGAGAATAAGGAGGGGTCGGCACAGCTCAGAAGGAGGTTGAGAAATGCAAGACTTTAGGCAGCACTAAGTGGTCATTGGTGCAGTTGGCAACTGCGCGAGGTAAGGTAGCTGCAGGCGACAAGACGCGGTGCCAGCTTACGCCGCAATTGATCAGCTCTTTTTGAGTCAGCATGGCAAGCATGGATACAACGCCTATTATTACTCTTATAGATAAAATAGTGAGGGGTAGGAAAACTTGGACCGACGGGATAAACGAACGATTGGAACAATGTTACCACGGAGTAAGAGACACTGTAGTAATTCTTTGGTAATTCAATCCTCCTCTTCGGTGGCCAGTCAACATGACTCGCCTCGAACGCTATGTGCTCACAAATGCCATGGTAGAGCGCGTGTTTATTTGGCAGGACGTCTCAGTTGCTTCTCGGAATTCTAGATCATCGTGAATATGTACTGTTCGTTGAATTGTTCTTAGGGTGTTGTTTTAGCGTACAAGCCTCGCAACTCAAAGCATCGGACGCCCTTCCGTTGATCAATCGGCACGTGGCCAGACACCAGACGAGGTCGAGGGACAGGAACCCCGCAATTAGTTGATAAATCCTATTCGACCGCGGGCTAGCTTCACTGAGCATTGCACACTCATTCGCATACAATCCATATCACGATTATCGGAGCCATGGGATTTCGGCAGCATGTTGGAGGGGAAAGTTCAAAGAGGTGCTGCTGAGTCTACTGTGGAAGTGCCCCCAAAGCAACTCAAGGGTGCGTCAATTGCTCGTCCCCTCCTTCGGTCGATCGCCAATGCCCTGTGCTGATTAGCCCCCCAGGCTGCGCCAACTGTGAGCGTCGTCGAATTCGCTGCGATCGACGGCGACCCCATTGCGCCAAGTGTGACAAGAAAGGACTTCCATGTCCTGGCTATGACCGCCGACTTCGATGGGTGGAAGGGGTTGCCGCAAGGGGACACCTGCGGGGCCGAACCGTCCCAACGAGGCCGTCTTGTGAAGATAAGGCCGCATTTCGAGAAGAGGACTCGAAAGACATCTTCACTGAAAGATCCCAGCTAGACAAAAGTAAAGACTTCATGAGTTCGGTTGTCGTTCTGAATGCGCCAATCGCTCAAGCAACTCGACCTTGCAAGTATCCCGACTCCCTGACAAGCGTGTTCATGGACTATTATAGACTGAACTTAGCCGGTCTGATGGTATGGATGGACTCAGACGAAAACCATTACCGAACACAGGTTGTTCCTCTAGCCGCGAATCAACCAGCAGTCGGCTTCGCCATCATGGCGTTCGCGGCTCAACACGGCGCCATGACGGTGCCTGATGAGTCCGTTGCTGAGAATGCTCGCGATAGGTGCTTACGTCTAATCCAAACCCGCGCCCAAGATATGACGGCACGGCTTATTAAGGGTGATGACTTGAACGACCATGGCGACGTGGTTGATGCAGAATGGATGCTGGCTTCGATTCTCATCATGTGCAACTACGAGAATGCCCGTCGCCGCCTCCAAATCGCCGATGATCACAGACGTGCGGCAAGGACGATTGTCAAACTTTTCAAATGCCAGAGCTCAATCAACAACCGAGATCTGTTTGCGTTCTTGCGAAATCAACTAGCTATAGATGATGTACTGGCAGCTACGACATCGTGTGACCTGCCCCTCATACGCAACGCCGTCACACCAGCACCTGGCTCAGAGCATCTCCTGTTTTCGAGGTATCTGACTTTCTTGCACCGCATCACGCTCGTTTCGGCAGATGCTGTTGATTCTCATCCTTCAATATCGCACTTACGCAGCGGCCTCACGATGCCTCTCATCCAATCCGAGTTTGAGCAGGCAAGAGGCGCCACGTTGATGGCGGCCGGACGACTCGGACTGGCAGGATCAAGCATGTCTCTTGACTTCATACGCTTAGTCGAGGTTTATCATAACGCGGGGCTACTTTACTCGTTAAGGTGCCTCGATTACGCCACCGAGCACGCCTCGGAGCGCATTGTGGCCGTTGCCAGTCTGTTCGACCAACTGACTGGATTCAAGGACCTAGCTGCCTTCGTTCAGAATCTAGCCTGGCCGACGTTCATTGCCGGTACCGAATGCCATGGAGATCGGCATCGACAAGAAATCATTGCGGGTTTGCTCATGGAAATTCATGAGGGCACGCGTTTCAGTTATTACTTGGACGCGGTGAACTTTCTCAAGGAGTTCTGGGCCGGAGAAGATAACGACTGGCGTCCTCTCGCTCGTATGAGAGAAGCCATAGGGCAGCGAGTCCTTGTGGTATGAGCAACATCAACGTCCTTTGAATAAGGGCGGAAACTTCATTCTGCCCTACCAACTGAGACTGGAGACTACTAGAAATCGACTGTCTCTTCGTCCTCCACACCGAAGAGCACTCGCATCGGGTCCTGATACTTCATGAAACCAACACCCGGCTCGCATAAACCATATCCCAGAAGACGTTGTGCCTGCGGCTTCATCTTCTTCACTCGCTCGAACGGCACCATGAGGAACTGGTTCTCTGCAGGACGCAGTGTCGGCTGACACAGGAAGATGCCGACAGTCTCCCGGTATTCATCCCTATCGATGAGAATTTAGCAAAGAATACCTACTTGCTATACGCCGGCAATGCACTTACGTAGTAACGTTTCCTCCGCCCGCATGGTACAGATTCCCGAGGAAAATCAAGGCGTCGCCGGGCTCAAGTTCAGCTGGAATGGTCTCCTCGTCGAGCGGACGACGTTCGGGACCCCATAGGTGTGAACCCGGAATCACGACGGTCGCGCCGTTCGCTGCCGTTGTTTTCGTCAAGGCGGTGACGCAACCGATCAGGACGGGCATCTGCTTGTCATGGGGGTGATAATCACTGCAAGCCTCAGGTCAGAGAATCTCCGCTTCGACATAAAGACGGACGCTCACTTGTCATCACGGTGTAGCACTTGTTGCTTCCCTCCCGGATTCACCCGGAATCCCACTGTCGATGAGATGATGGGCTTCCCGCTGACAGTCTTCTGTTTGTCGCCCCTCCAGAAGGTGAACGATGAAGAGACCATAGCATTTGCGACATCAGTATACAAGCGGTTGCACGCGAGCTCCACACAGGCGTCTGAGATACCCAGTAAACCGGATGCTCTCTGCGTCGTTGCTGGGAAGAAGCCGTACTTGTCTGGGATGTCTTCGTCAAAGTACGGCTTCAGGTCTCGCTTGATCTCTGCGGTGAGATGGAGATCGATTAACTTCTCCACTATCACGCCGCCATCACGGTTGATGATCTCGACGAGCTTCTCTGTTGTGGTTGATGGATCCGTTGCATCGCATCGGGTAATGGATGGGCGGGAAGTAGCTCCCTCGGGATTCGCCATAATTCAATATTCTTTATTCGTGCTTGCACCAGGCGCTGCTTCTTGCGACCCCATTCCTCTAAGAAAGCGGTCACCCTACTTTATATCCGCCGTCGTTCTAGTCCATCTTGCTAACACCTGCTCTTCCCCTGCTCGTGTCGGGATCAAATATTACGTCTCAGTCGTCATCTCTCTAGGTATTGCCTGTATTCAGCCTGGCTTATCAGGAAACAAGTCCTAAAGTATGCGGAACACCACATCGCATTGAACACGCCGATAGCAATTGAGCTCGTCTCAGAGAAGAGCATTTCGGAGCTGGCCACAATAGCCAGGAACCCTGCACTGTCAAGTTTCTCAAAATAATGCCCTAATTCGGTTAGTGCCCTTGCGCGATGATAAGGTTGCGGAGTCAGACTGGTTGATGGGTCTAGATAGATGAGACGGAAGAAACTCGGCATGAATCGGGTCGCTCAGATCCGGTACCGGCTTGTAGTTACAAAGTTGGTTGAAGAATTCCTTGTAATCCGAGGACTGTTGATTTATCGCGTGGTCACTAGTACAATCCAATAGGAAGACCGGTATCCGCCATTTGTAAAGTCAATTCACATAGTCAAAGGCATTTGCGTGGGACTTTTGCTCGCGAAATTACTCTATTAATTCTTGATCGATCTATTTCTCGAGATTCTAGCGACCATAGAAAGCAAAAGGAAACAAGAAACGAGGCCATGCTATGCCATCATCATCAAAAGCCACGCTGCACTCAAAAGGACCAGATTTCGTCCCGAACCCCCTTAGTCAGACGAGACCGCAAACTTGCTCAGCGCTCTAAGTCTACCGCCGTAGAAGTAAAGCAGCCAGATTCCAAGGATACCAATTGTGCTAAGTCCACCCAACAAACTCGTTCCGCGGGCGACACCCAAGTTCTGGTACATGGGGCGGGCGAACAAGATGCTAGCAAAGGCGAAGGCGGAGCGGAAGAAGTCGTTACCGGCAAAGAGACTGGCGGCGTACTGGGGGTAGGACAGTGGGACGTACACAAAGATGCACTGCATCACGACGAAGACGGTGGCGCCGTAGATAGTGATGCCAATGGTGGGTGCGATCCAGTGGATGGCCGGGGATGCGGTCCATGCGAAGATGAAGAGGCCGATGGTGGGGCCGAAGGAGGCGGGGAGAGCGGGTACGAGACGGTTCTCCTGGATGGGGAAGCCGAACTTTTTGATGCAGGGCACCATGTAAAAGGCAAGGTAGGAGACGTAGACGGCGATGCCGAGCAGGCAGGCGACGAGGATGCAGAGGAAGACGAGGCCGATTTCGCCAATGGACATGCCGTAGTAGACTGGGTACACGAGGGGGAACACCTCGAAGAAGGAATAGTAGATGCCGTAGATGATGGCGGTGTAGACCTGGACGAAGAGGATGGCCGGGTCCTTGATTGTGATCTCGAGGGGCTTGATGAGGGCGTCAATGACGACGGCCGAGGTCTTCAGGTTGCGCTGGTCGATTTCGGACTGAGACATGAAGCGATCGTTGCCCGTCAGCTTGCGGAGACGCTGAGCGCGGCGGAGGAGGATGTTGGGCGTCGAGGTCTCGGGGAGGAAGAAGAACATGACGAGGAAAACGGGGGCGGCGGCCCAAAGAATTTCCCAGAGAGACCAGCGCCAGCCCATGGCGGGGACGGAAAAGCCTGACAAGAGGGGCCCAAGAGCTGGACCGCAGTATGCTGCAGACACCTATCGGAAGAGTCAGTATGATGGTATCGTATGATGGGTGTCAAATTTTAGAATTACTTACCCAAGCAATGAGGGCATAGGGAAGGTTGAGAAGGCTGTACATGTCTCCCAGAGACGCAGCGCCTGATGCCAGACACGGCGAGCCGAAGAGACCTTGCAGGAATCGGAGAACCATCAACCCGGGGAAGTTGCTAGCCAAAGGGGCGGGAATCGACACGATCACGAAGAGGAACATGGTGACGATGTAAATCGGGTTACGGCCAATGCGGGGGATCTCAGAGAGCGGCGAGAAGAGCAGAGGACCGATACCATAGCCCAAGACAAAGAGCGCCAGACCCAAGGAAACCTCAGTCATGTCGACGCCGAACTCGTGAATGACGCCCTCTATGGAGGGCGTGTAAATCGCTGAAGACATGTAGACGACAAAGGTGTAGATACAGATAATGGCAGCGATGAGTCCGCGCTTCGCATTAGACCAGTTTTGCGGGTTCTCAGCATCGTCGCTAAAGTACCAGTCCACCAGGATGGCACCATCTTTGGTCTTTCTCGGTGCGATGGGGATGCTCTTGGTCTTTTGGATCTCGTGGATCTCGTCGACCTCGAGCCGGTCCGCAGTGTATGGGATCGTCTCCTCCCGGCTCCGAGTCCGCTGGAGCGAGGTGCCGTACGGCGCGCCGTCTTCGACTTCTTTCTGTGAAAGCTTATTTTCTTCATCGGCGGCGTGGGTCGATTCGGAGGATCGGGGTGATGCGCCGGCGTCGGCTGGGGTTGCATCTGCCGGGCTGGACTTCTCAGAATTGAGGACGTCAAGCCATTGTTGCGGGAGTTGGAAGCCAGTCTTCTCTTCCGGGTATTGGAGGAACTTGTTCCGTGTGATGAAGCGGATGATTTGGCCCACAGGGGCATCTCGAATTAACTGCGCCATTGAAACGGCTGATGATGATGATGATGTGGCTTGAGATTATGTGATGTATAGAACGTTGATGGCGTTGGGATATTAGAGTACTTCTTGGGGATTAACTTGCGCCTGAAGCGGTTGAGATGTCTTCAGTTGCTAAGGGTATAAGCCTGGAAACATAAGTGTGTGGATTGACAAGAAAACAGACGATGATGATACCGACATCACGTCTTCTAATATACTGGCCATCATCTCAACCTTTGCCAAGCAGACATTGGCGTCGACAACACTCAAACGCCAAAGAAGCAACATGACTACTAGCCTGATGACCGATCAGGACCAAAATTTGGTCCGTCCACGGCATCGGGCTTACGAGCGATAACTACGATGCGGCGCGACTCTAGCACGTGTGGCATTATGAATCACAGCCGGGCTTAAGTTTCTCGAATGCGCCGGAATGAGATAGGCGCGAACCAGCCGTCTGGTGCAGATGGCTAGGTACCTATCTCGTTTGAGAGAGAAGAAGGGGGTGGGGGGCCCCGCGGAAGCAGGCGTCGTAAATCTCTGTCTCTCCCTGGGGCATGGTAAGATCTAAACGTGCGTGCCGTGTCAACAGGGTATTGGTTTGTCCGTTCTCGTCCGTTTGGAGTTGGCGCGTCCCCGTCGATTCTGCCGACCAGAATGATAGGGAGACATGGTGCTAGGGCTGACATGACGTTGAGGGACAACGAGATGGCGTGCCGCAGAGTTGGCGGGCTTTGGAATTAGGAGCTAGAGTCAAGGAGATAGCCTCTGCATACACATCGCGAAAGTACTCGCTGCTAGTGCCAGTCCGTTCCGTGGAGGTGAATGGGAGAAGACGAGCTAGCAGACAATACTCAAGATTATCACTAATCCGCGTCCGGCTTTTGGTCGATTTATCAGCGAGCTCCGGAACCCTTGAATGATCACCGTCCATGCAGCATCTGATTGGCTGCCCGGTCAAGAACCTTAAGTCTAGCTGGATCGAAATTTGAACTGAATGCCATCCCACGGATGATTCAGCCACTTGGTCTGCACGATCCTTGTGTTTGAGATGGCATGTCTTCTCTCCGAGCCACATTCTGACTAATTAATCGATGGCTTTTGCCAAGCCGTTGAGGAGTGCCTTGCAGTCGGCGGCACCAAAGCCTTCGGCAGGGTGCCAGCTTTAATTCCTAATGCACTGCTGAATGGCTTGCGTCGTCTGATGAGACAATGGAAACCAAATTATGATGATGTAATGGAACAGCGAGTGCTTCTTTAACACAGTGGAGGAGGCTTGTAACGAAGGGATGCTGGTGTTCGCAATTAGCGCGTTGAGAAATTGTCAAACATTGGCCCGGTGGGCTTGCATGCTGGGTTGTAGACCGGATCCAAATTAATGGAATCGGCTACATAGATAACCTCCGGTGCCTCTCGGTGTGTTCCACGGTGGTCGGGATAAGGTTGCGACGCTATAAGCTGACAATGAGTCACTCCGTATGAGTACAAATGGCATTCAAGACTTGGTCGATGATTGCAAGCTTCTGCAACGCAATTTTGACTGGCTTGTGCCAAAGTGTAGTATACAGCCGCCGCGGGTAAATCCGGGTGCGGCACATCTTCTCTTAAGAGGTGTTTGTGCGAGTGCTCTTGGTAATACAACATATACGAGAACCCGCCATTTTATGATGGGAAGCGATATGTCATCTCGGTGTCCTCTCGGTCCAATCCGGAACTTCTCTTGATCTCGTCGGCAACGGATGCCATCACCTTCGACAAGCCCGACTGGACGTCCATATTCCGTCTCTCGGCCTGCTCGATCAACCACCAAACCCGCACGTCCTGCACGTCAAGGGACTTCCTGACGAGGGTGAGTAGCGTCTTCCTGTTTATCCAAAAACTGTCCAGTTCGGGTTGTTGCCCCTCAACCGGCGCAGGAGCTTCGCCGAATAATCTCACACACTTGTACGCGAGGTCCAGCTCACCAGCCACGGCGTACTCATGCACAACCCTGGCAAAGACAGTGCGATCGCCTTTGAGGGCCAACTCTGGGTTTTGCGCAACAAGAGCCTTGAGAGCTTCCGTATCCTCGCACGCTTGGAGAACGTAGCGAATGGTGACATGATTAGGGCTGGCCTCGGTGTACTTGTGCGCATTCTGGTAGATCTCCAACGCTTTCGCGAAGCCGTGTGTTTCGACAGCGGCTTCAATGATGACATTGAGCGCGGCAATGGGGACTTTGTAGCTGCGGATAAGCTCAGTAAGAGTGTTAAGAGCCGGGTCGATGCTCTCTGGCTCTTTCTTGATTCTCTGGTAGATTGGACGGGTGCTGGCGTATGGCGCAACTGAGATGGCCTTGAACATGATGCACAAGACCCGCAATGCGCTCACGATATCTCCGACTCCGCCGTAGCATTCGATCAGCGCCTCGTAATGATGCGCAACCAGTTTTCCACCCCTCTGCGTGACGAGCCGCGCAGCCCCTGTGGCAAGCTGATAGTCGTTCTGCCTGGCAGCCGTGTTGATAATGTTGAGAAGCACCCCGTCCGAAAGTTGCTCCTTGTCCTTCTCCAGCATCCTACCCCATATGTATCGCGTGCCCTCGTAGTGGTACGCCTCGGAGCAATTGTCGAGCAGTGAATACCACAACGCAACGTCCGTCTCGCCATCAGAAGAGTGAATCTTGCTATGCGCTAGCTTGATCGCCTCATCTATAAAACCGCGCTGGGCGAGGGTGAAAATGAAGATGTCAAAGACCCATGAAGCCATCGGTACTTGCTTGTGAATTAGGTTCTCTATTGCGTCGAAAGCCAGCTCGATTTGACCGTCGCGGAGTAGCCCGATGGCAACGTGGGCCTGTCCTGGTATATCGACCTCAGTCCACGACTGCTTCATTGCTGCAAGAATCTCGTTTCGAAGTAAGTAATCGGGATGTATCGCGAGAGCCTATCGTCGTCAGCGCAAGGGGCAATTCGGTTTGTCTTGGCGAAACATACAGCTAACGCGGCATGGGATATTGAAGGCGAAGTTGTGAACTGCAGTCGCTTCATCTCCGCAAAAAGCTGTGCTAGGAACGCCGCCGATCCTTGAACATCGGCCGTAGCCACGATCAAGTCTTCGTAGAGTTTTGGGCTGAGCTCAACGCCTCTAGCCCGCACTAGATATGTGATGATTGTTGCGACCTTTTTAAAACTTTTGGGTTGGCCCCGGAGGACCTCCAAGGCATCCAGGATTGCAGGCAGCGAGGCTGCTCGGAGCTGCTCGTTCACGGCGGGGAGATTGTCGTCCACGGATTCCGACCCTTCTGTTTCTCGAGCTGCGTCGGCTTCAACTAGCTCCTCGCTATCGTGATGCTTCGAGTGTCCTTCTGCCTGCACGGCCGAAGATGTGGCGGTTGTGTATCTTCGACATCGTGTACGATTCGCAGGATGGCGGGTTGATGGGACAAGGTGACTTCGTTGGCGCGTCGCAAGCGATGTTCTGGGAACAATCTGTGTATTGAGGAGCCTGGCCGCAGCTTGCGTATCGACAGAGGGGCAGAGACAGCGCCATAAGCCGTCGAAAATTACTCGAGTGCCCGACATGGAGCTGGCAATGCGGCTGGGCATGGGGGATACAAATTCTGGAGAGCTGCAGCTTGCACTTTTCGGAGCTTCTCTCACCGAATTAATCCCGGTGCAAAAGTGGATCACGTGACTCACCCGACATTGAATGCGCTTCGCGATAGACGACGAGCATGCACAAGCATCACGGCTGGCATATGGATAAGCATCGCGTCATGAGAATATCTTCTTGCTTTTTGAACGTAAAATGATTATGTTGATATGCGTGCTCCCGAGGCGGGCGGCCAAAGGCCGATAACGCAATGCTGATCCAATGGCGTTGTAATTCCGAATGGCATCCGCATTCGAATTCCTTTTCGTGCGAGACGTCCAATGTGGATGTCTGTAGCCTTCAGATGGCCGTCGATCTTCTTGCAAGTCGTGCAAAGTAGCCGCTGGGAGCCGTGTATCAACTGGGCTCGTCATGATCGTGTCCGGGATATCATCATTGCCCACCACCACCACCACCACCACCACCACCACGGTTACCTCTTCCTCTGCCTCCACGGCCCTGGCCTCTGCCCCGACCTCTGTCACCTCCGCGGCCGCCATGGTCTCCTCTCGATCCACCTCTGCCACCGCGGAATCCTCCTTGCTGGTTCTGTTGGTTCTCCTTCACAACGTCAATGATGTCGTCGGGTACTCGTAGGTATTTGATCTAGGGCTTCGTCAGCATGTCGCTCGTGATTGGGACTTGCGCTATCTGAGTTTTCGTACGTTGTTTCCTTTGACGTAGACTTCGGGTATCTTGACGAACTTGTCGCCTTCCTATGTACTCGTCAGTGGTCTGGCGCGGGGTATGGGCCGATGCATCGACGCGGGCGGCGCGTACCGGACTCGTTTGAACAACCTCCTTCAATGTGAGGTTCATCCAGGTATCGCACATGACCAGGTGGCCATTGAGTGTTTCGCCGTTCTTCAGCTCGACGAGCATAGGGTGCCCTTGGGCGGCGTTCAAGAGACCGAGGGGTAACTGTGACAGCTGCGTTAGCCAGCGCGCTTACAGTTCATTGCACGAGACAGCTGCGCGACAATTGCCGCATGTTGCATATCTGAGGAGGCGCATGAGGACGTACCATTTTGTGATTCGGGCTCTGGAGCTTGCCGTGGGAAAGGAAGCTGAGCTGGAGCTTGACGCGGACGGTTGACGATTATGCGACAATGGAGATTTAAGTGGGTCGGTTCGGTGAGAGCCCGGTGAGTGGCCACCCGCACCACCAGCGCCGGACGCGGACGTTGCTGAGAGAAGACACACCAGGGTACATCGGCATGACGTCGATAACACTGAACACAGGTAGGTACCTAAGGAAAGCAGTCCCTGACATGACAACTCGTACCAGGGTACCTACCTCAAGCAATAGAAAAGACAACACTTGAGATCCGCAATTTGAACTGTTTTCTTATTACAATTTGCAAGCTGTCGGCTTTCGAAAGCTTCTGAAAAGGCATCGCTATGTACCTCTAAGCATCCTATGACAAATTATCGAGTTATCCTAGTTGCGTTGCAAGCAGGGGTACTATCCGTATGGGCAAGCACCAATTCAATTTCGCCTCCATCCAGTTGACTTTCGGTACTCTCAGAAATGCAGGGAACACTTTGAGGAGTTCTTCTACATAATGACAAAGCAATTTTCATGCTTGGCTCAAAAATTCCACCTGTGCTGAATGTCCGCTTCACAAAAACAGCCTTTAGAAGGCCGAACAACAAAAAAATGACCAACGTGGGGCTCGAACCCACAACCCCCAGATAACCACACGTCGCGGACGAGATAGAAGTCTGATGCGCTACCATTGCGCCAGCCGGCCAGATCTGCTGACCAATCGCTGATTGGGCAGGTTGACGGCGGAAGCTGCATCTCGTCTCATGAACGCTTTCCCGTGCGCAATCAGAATGCGTCTTGGGCAATCGCGATGGTTTGCAAATGCCTTAGAAGTTCGTAATGCTACCTAGGAAGACTTTCATAGAAGCCAAAAAGCTCTCATTGAATCTAAACCTTTACAATGTTCTATGGGGAAAAGCTTGACAAAGCTTCAAGTGCGCATCAAGTTTTCTTCCCCTCACCAACTTCCGATGCTACTCGGGGTTGGTGAAGAAGCTTTCAACATCTTCCTTATTACCCCACATTTGCTTTGCTAACGATTCCCTGGGGTCTGGGCAGGAGACTGGAGTGCAGTAATACGAATCATTCTAGCTGTGTGCATGTACTTTTCTTCTTGTGGCCATGCTTGTAAAAAGACAATGGAATTTCCAAGTCCCAGCATATGCTAACAATTGGGGTATCAGTGTAGTGACTCACTTACCACTTCACAGGATATAAGTACACGCTCTGCAACCCCTCTTGAGCTTTCAACAATCACAGCTTTGCGAGATCGATTGCTTCAGCTGGATTGGCTTGGATCCCGACTCAAGCCCTGTGCCGCCGAAGAGCAAGACACAGGAACAAGAGCCAAAACTGCTGATAGGTATCCTACCTTTATGAATCCCTCTTAGCAAATGCTTACCACCCGCTTCTGAAATGTGACCCGAAGAGTCGGGAAGCCTTTAAGGTTATTCATAGGTGGTTTCACAGCCAATGAGTCTTGCTCGGTTGCTCTGGCAAAATGCTCATAGACTTAGTTTACTGGGTGAATGATGTAATCTCTCAATCGCTGAGCCCATTTGCACCAATCGAGGTCATGTTCATCGTCAAGTTCATCTTCGCCCTGTTCCACTTTGTTGGTAATAAAAAGTAGTGTATGTTACTTGACTGCACTCAGGTGATGGCGTCTCACTACCTACCTTATGTGAAGAGCCTTGACTAAGACAGCTGTCTGCCATGTCGTTCCATGCTGTCTCTTCGGTTTAGAGCGGAGCCCCGACATATTGCTCTGAACCTCGAACTGGAACCAGCTCCGAAAAAATGGTCTTCTTAATGATGATAAGGTGGTGATCGTGGTTCAGATAGGCTAGCGGACGAAATGACGAAATCGCAAGACCCGATTGCGAATGCCGTTGACATTGTCGAAATACCCATTTCGCTGACCTGGAGCCCAGCCGGTTGGTCGACCGATGAGCGGGCGCCGTCCGACGACCCACCAGCGATACCACCGAGCTACCGGGGCCCCGTGGGCTAACACCGCAACACGCTCAGGCTTGATTCTCTTACTAGCTTTTAGGGGAAGGTTCCTGCCGTTGTAGTCTACTGAAATGTGGGAGCCGGCAATGGAGGTGCTGCGTCACTCATAACACTTACGCGCGACATATAACAGTTACTTTGCAGTGCCTGGAAGCACATATCTCGATCTCAAGGCGGCTTTTCTGTTCCTGCTTGGTTTTGGAGTAGATATCTGTGAAGTTGCAAGATCACAGGCTTCACATTTCACCATGTTGCCAATTCTTAGCCTGTCAACGTTGGCGACACTGGCCCTCGGTGCCTCCGCTGTCATCGCTCAGAGCGTGCAGCAGCGTCAGCCGAACATTGTCTTCATCTTGACTGATGATCAGGACGAGCAACTCGGTTCCCTTGACTACATGCCTTATGTTCAGAAGCATTTTGTTCAGCAGGGAACATACTATCGCAAACACTTTTGCACGATCGCAATTTGCTGTCCATCTCGTGTCAGCTTGTTGACGGGGCAAGCGGCGCACAACACCAATGTCACATATGTTACTCCCCCTCACGGTAAGTCGTAAGCATCTACTGCCAATAGAGTGACAATAGTCTGAATATTCTCATAGGTGGCTACCCGAAATTTGTCTCCCAAGGTTACAACGACAAGTATCTTCCTGTCTGGCTTCAGGACGCTGGCTACAACACGTATTACACCGGCAAGCTCTTCAACTCTCACTCTACCCAAAATTGGAACAATCCCTTCCCCAAGGGCTGGACTGGGAGTGACTGTAAGTCATTGACAACACCTAGAATTCGGGGCTTCATTGCTAACTCTAGCCTAGTCCTTCTAGATCCCAACACCTATCTCTACTTGAATGCAACGTTCCAGAGAAACCAGAGCCCACCTCAGACTTTCCCGGGCGAGTACAGTAACGACTTGGTTGCCGAAAGAGCTCTCGGCTTCTTGGATGATGCTCTCAAGTTCAACGGCAGCAAGCCTTTCTTCTTGGGTGTTGCACCAATTGGTCCTCACAACAACGGACTTGGCGGCGAGACCAGTGCTGGTGCGACACCACCCATCCCCGCGAAGAGGCACGAAAACCTCTTCTCAAACGTGACTGTTCCTCGCACTTACAACTTTAACCCTGACAAGGTAAGACTATCGACTTCTTGATCCAAGTCGTTGGTCGCTTACGCTACTTTTATAGCCGAGCATGGCCAACTGGGGTCTCATCATCCCCCAGCTGAACGCCACCGAGATAACATACGGTGACAATTACTACCGCCGCCGTCTCCAAACACTGCAGTCCGTTGATGAAATGGTTGACGCCGTCGTCAAGCGTCTCGATCAAGCCGGTGTCCTCGACAATACCTATGTCATCTTCACGTCTGACAATGGCTTCCACATTGGACAGCATCGTCTTAAGCCAGGAAAGACTTGCGCGATTGAAGAAGACATCAACGTGCCCTTCTTGATTCGCGGCCCCGGCGTGCCAAAGGGCAAGACTGTGGACTTTGTCACAACCCACACCGACATTGCTCCTACCATCTTCTCGTTGGCCAACATCACCCTACGTGACGACTTTGATGGTTCTCCTATTCCCTTCTCTGAGAATGGGATCCAAAAGGCCCAGAATGACCCTAAACATGATCACGTCAATGTTGAGTTTTGGGGTACTCAACGCGGATATGACGCGTTTGGCGGAGGTCAGTTCATTTGATTCATATTGCATCGTTCCAAGCAACTTGGCACTAACGTCCCATTAGCATCTGCGAACAACACTTACAAGGCCATGCGTGTTCTCGGCGACAGTTATAGCCTGTTCTACTCAGTTTGGTGCAGCAACGAACGCGAATTTTACGACATGAAGGTGAGTCTGATTTCTAGGAGTGGATGTCCATAAATCATGACCAGTTACTCACTCCTGTTATAGAAGGACCCAGGTCAGATGAACAACCTTGCCGGAAGCGCTTCAGGTCAGCTTCTCGATCGTCCCTTGTCCGTTGTCCAAGACCGTCTTGATGCCCTTCTATTGGTCCTCAAGAGTTGCAAGGCCGAGACTTGCAGGCTTCCATGGAAGCACATCCACCCTGAAGGTGGCGTCGAGAACCTCCGGGATGCACTTGATCCCAAGTTTGATGAGTTTTACGCCGGACAGCCCAAGATTTCCTTCTCAGACTGCAAGGACTTCTACGACATTGCTTCTGAGGGAGCGCAGGATACTTTGGTCCATTACGACCCGTGAGTCTCAATTAGAAATATTTATGACTGAGGATGGGTGCTGAGTGAGTTTGAAGTGCGATGTTGGATGAATGTCTTCTGGACGAGCCATCGCTTTCGGAAGAGCTGTAGTATACGGGCCTTCAAGTAAATGTCTGCTGATCGGCTTTGCACCCGAGGAGCCGTGCATATTGATACCGACAACATGAATCAGATACAGGAATATTGACTTGCATTCCGTATAGGTCGGTGGATTGCATAAGACTCTGAGGCCTAGTGTGATGAATGTGAGAAGAAGGCACTATTTCCATGCTAAGAGCCCGGCCTCGGTCCGGCGTCTTGTGCCGATCGCCTAAGACACCGAGGTGTCTTGGGAGATGGGACAAATCCGTATAATCCCATTGGCTCTCCGCACTTTTGCTCCAAATGCCGAAAGCCGTCAATATCTCGATAAAAGACCTAGCTGCTTCGCATTCTTCAATATTATTCGTTGTGATTTACTCAAGAGTCATTAGGGTAAAACGCTGTAAATTTGTTCTCGTGGTTGCTCGTCCTCAAAAGGAAGCAGGCTCCGTGTCCTACCGAAGCAATGACCGTCGGGCCTGCCCTATCTAGCGATTCATACTATGTTCAGTTCAGAACATCGGCGGCTTGAATACCTTGCGTCTGAACTCTCTTCCCAGTATTGACAACCACGAAATTCTCAGGTCTCGCTCAGATGGACAGCGATAATTACGACTCCCAGTCGGGCGATGACGCCGAGAAGTATTCCGTGCCTTCGGCATGGCCACCCACCGACCGGGATTCCTTCGAGGTATCTTTTAATGGGATCGACGACCCTTTTTGCCCACACAGCATGTCACTGTTTCGGAAGTGGGCCATCGTTACAATACTGTGCAATGTAACGATTTGCGTGTAAGTAGAACCCCCCGAAGGCAGCCTCTAGTCTATTCCAAATGTAGCTGATACTGACCATTGCATCATCCAGTACCTGCACTAGCTCAGCATACACATCCACATACACCCAGATGAATGCCGAATTCGGCACTTCATCTCTTGTCTCCACTCTCGGACTGTCAACGTTCCTCTTGGGTATTGCCTTCGGGCCACCAATGATCAGTCCTTTGAGTGAGTATTACGGACGACGTCCCATCTACCTCGGGACATGGTCTCTTTTCATCCTTTCGACAATTCCATCAGCAGTTGCAAAGAACATTCAAACCATACTGGTCACTCGATTCTTCAGTGGTGCCTTTGGCGGTACCTTCCTCTCAGTGTCAGGAGGGACCGTGGGCGACATCTTCCTACCACACCAAATCCAACACCCCATGTCTCTTGTGTCGCTAGTGCCGTTCATGGGGCCTTGCGTGGGCCCAATAGTCGGCGGATTCATCAACTACAACATCAATTGGCGATGGACCTATTATATCATGATCATCTGGTCTTCGATTTTGATGGCCATTATTGTATTTTTCACGCCCGAGACCTTTCATCCAATCAGGTTATACATGAAGGCCAAGCACCTCCGCCAACAAACTGGCGA